CAAAGCCTAAGAACATTCAGACATAATCAATAGGTCTGCTGCTTTAATTTTGTCATATGAGTAAGTATGAAAATTTACCACTTTGCACATGGTTTTATCAGTCCACCTTCCCTCCAAGGAGATAAAAAAAAAAAATGAAATCAGCATTCTTTCCAACTCCCTTGGCATAAATTATTACTTACCCTAAGCAAGATGACTGATGATTTCTAAAGCTCTTTTAATTATATGCTAAACTGATTAGTGGCTGAAGGGAAGTCCTTTTAGTGTAGTGAGCTGGAATTACTCTAGAAATACCTGTGTGCTGGGGTAAGAGAGGTGTAGTGTATACAAAGAATGCTGACCATTGAAAGGGCCATGCCCTGTATCAGCAGGAGACACCAATACCTTAATAAGTAACTGGAACTTGGCAAAAATTTTGCCGGGGTGATTTTTTTTTTTAAATCATTATCTGGGGTGACTTTAGAAGAAAGGACTGAGAGAGGATTATTCAAATATTAAGCACTTCAAGCACAGAAAAACCTTCTTGCCTCCTGTAAAGAAAAGAACCTGACAGATTTGGAACGAGGGATTTTCAATAATGCTAGCATTTTCCCCAAGTACAAACTCTACAATGGCCTTCAATAAGAATATAAAGTGAAGAATTAAGGGAATTACTTTGAGAATTAAGATCTCCAAGAAGAAATATCCATAAAATTAAGATTGAAACTGGTTTTTGAAGTTGCATTTTCTTGTGTAATTTTTTAAAATTTAATATCAGGATTTTTTTTTTGAGGATTTATCATCTTCTTAAAAACTCCTGTCTTTTGATCACAGAAGGGATTTCAAACTTCCTAAAATCAGGACAGTGCCAGAAAGTGTGTAGTAGGAAGAAGTGGAGATCCTATAAATTTGTCAAGTACAATTCATTTTACATTATTAAAAAATATGTTTGCTTTGAAAAAAATAGTTGATAAGCACTGTGGAAGAATTCTAGAATCCAATATTTCTGATGATTCAATCAAATAATAATCTAGCTTGGGTTACCTGAGTGGGTCCAGAATAATCACTTGAGCTAAGAAGGTGAGAGGAAACTTTGCATGGAGAAGTGTATGGCATAGACTGTGGTGATGATAGCATGGTTTATTTATCTCCAAACTCATCAAGTTTATTTATCTCCAAACTATGTTACTTACGAACAACTTTTGATTTGTAGTATAGGGTAAGTGAATAAATCAGACTTTTTGCTCTACTAGTCTCTGGCTGTCACCTGCAGCCTTGACAGTGTTCATGCAGAAGACACTTGGGAGTGTAAGCTCGGGCACACATGCCTGATTGTGGACACATGGCATATGGGTAGGGGCATGTGTAAGTGTGTATACCTGAGCTTAGAGGCCAGGGATATAGAGGCACAGGGGGCTGGCCATGGGAAGACAGCTACAGACAAGTGACTAAGGAAGAGGGGAGAAAACATGGGAGAACACCAGTGAGAAGAGTAAAGATTTGTGGGGCATTGGGGGTACTCAGTTGCCTGCCTGCCTCCCAGCACCCCCCTCCCTGGCCTGTGCCCACCTCCATGCATGCGAGCCTCCCTGCCTGGTGTGCCTGTGTAGCTGGTTGCCTGAAAGGGTATAAACGCCTGAAAAATCCACTGAGGGCTCCAGAAATCTTCTTTATCTGTCTTTCCGATTCCATAGTAAATATGCCCTGTGCTTAAGGAATTATATCAGGGAAGGGAAAAGAAGTAGAGAAGAAAAGCAGAAGTTAGGGAGAAGCAGTGTAAGAGGAAGTGGCAGAAGACTAATGCATCAAAGGGGATTCAGAGAAGTTAGATGTTGAAGAGACTCCATCTTGACCTTTGAAGACGGAGACCAGGGTCGAGTCAAGGAATGTGAGTGATTTCTGGAAGTTGACAAAGACTCTCTTTATCCCTGATGAAAAACAAGGAGGTGAGACCTCAGTCCCATAGCAACATGGAGCAAGAGTCAGCCAACATGATCATCTCAGAAGATGATTCATTTCCATGGCCTCCAGAAAGGAATAGAGACCTGTTGACATGTTGATTTGAACTTGTGATTCCTAGTGCAGTAACCGGTTCAGGCAACCTGAACTTCTGACCTGCAGATACTGTGAGATAATAAACCTGTGTTGCCTGAAGTGCTGAGTTTGTGGTAATTGATAGAATACAACAGAAAATGCACACTAAGGTGAAGGAACTTAATACTGCCAAATTAATCTTCCACTCCTTGAAGATGCTCAACAAACATCCTTAAAACTCTCTGATGCAACATTATCTGAAACAAACAAGCAAAGCAAACACACCAAGAACAGTGATAAAGCTGGATTTTTTTGCATCCTCAGTAAGAAAATGTCTTATGTATTTAGCGAGGGGGAAAAAAAAACATAAAAACAGGTGATTCTTCTCCAAAGACCCTGCTTCTTGAATGGGACTGTGACTATTGTTTCAGAAGGAAAACAATAAGTTCCTTCCTTTTGTTTCCCTCTGTTTTCACTGCACTCACTGTGATAGAAATAATCACTTATCACGATTCTGCATTCTGGAGAATATTAATTATGATAGCTTTCTGGGTCTCAGATTTTAACCTTGCTTCTCCTTAACATTGGTTGATTGGGTTTGGAGAATTTAGCCTTTTCATTTTTTGGCTCTTCTCATGGGTGTGATGAGGTAAAGATTCTTACCTAATGAAATTGTTGAGATAATTTTTTAAAAAAGCATGTTTTCAGACAGTGCTTGGAACATAGTAATATTTCATCAAATAACACTGATTCTTTTTAACATAAGTGAATCTTTTTTCCTTTGACTACTGACTCTTATTCTAGATTATAGTCCAATTCAAGTGCATAGTTGTGAAGAATACTTCTCAAATACCAGTATTACTCATTCCTTTATCATTTGTAATTGAGGAAATTCTTTTATAATTTGACTTTTATTTCCAACTTGATTATAAATTCTTTTTGAGCAGAAACCATAAGGCCCCAGTAGACTCTTTGTAGGAACACACTGATAATTTAAACATCTTAGCTTCACTTTGCTTTATTTTGTATATTTGTAAATTGCTTTATTTTTTCTACACCTGGAATGCCAAAAAATGTGAAGAAAAAAATCCATCCTAACTAGATTTGCATCCAAGTCTCAAGCTACAGTGCCAGCAACCTCAAGAGAGTATCTAATCTCAAAAGAATGCCAGAGTAATTTTGCAGGACCATGAGATTTGGCTTGTTGGGGTAAGTTTTAGATAAGCATCTGCAATTTTGTTTTTTTAAATATTTAATTATAATATTTCTTTATTGGTTTTAACCTAGAAGAGTTCACCAGCCTTTTTTTTCCCCCCTTTGGAATTTACAACCATGTAAATTCTCCATGTGTGTATTTTATTTTTTGTATTGCATTTTATTTTAATTTTTTAAATTTGCTATATTTTTTTCATCATTTTTTCATTTTTGTACAATGTATGCATTTTTATCTTGATTATAGTCCCCATACAATTCCCACTACCCTTGTTTTGATCCTACTCCATTCCCCCCCCCCCCATGTCTCTGGTTTATAATTGCTTGTTGATTTTGATTTTTACTTTATTATAATTAGTCTTCACAGTCAACCTGGAGAGTGTTGTCTGTCATCAGGCTGGCAGCAGTGAGAATTTGTCCTTATGGGGGTTTACTGCAGGAAATAAACCTTCTTTTCTGTAAATGATTTTGTTTCAAATACGGGTATCTTCCCTTTGACCAAAAACTCCCGTGGTGAGATGTGCAGTTTTCTGACTTTTGGCTGTGCATTTTATTTATTTATTTATTTTTTATTTTAATTTTTAAGTTTTTTTTTTAAAAAGATTTATTTTTATTTATTATACAAGTACTGGGTACAGTCAGAAGCGCGGGAGAGTGAGAGAATTCACCAGAGCCAGAGCGGGGAGCAGAGCAGGCAGAAGGACCGAAGTACACTGCTGAGGGGAGCAGCGGGCGGCAGGAGAGGTCTGCGCGCCATGTGGGACCCTCCTCCGGTGGCCGGGGAGCAGCCGGGGATTGAACCGGCGCTGCAGAGGCTGCAGGCAGCTTCGCAACCCAGCGCTCAACCACTGCACCACCGGGGAGGCCCTGGCTGTTCATTTAAAAAAAAATGCCTTTCAATCACTGACTTACCTGTTTCAGAACATTGTGGAGGAGATAAGAGGTAAAATCTGATAGACCCTTAGGGAGGATTTGATATTGAAATTGAAATTATTAATCAGTATCTGTCCCAAGCATAATTATACTCAGATGTTTTCCTATCTCATGCACTCATGGGACATTTCTTTCCTTCTTTGCTTATTTCCCTGTTCTTTCTTGAAGTTTCATTATTGAATAACTTTTTGGGTGCTTTTTCAACCTTTACTGAAGCAAAAAGAGTATTTGAAAATATATTCTGTGTAATGTCAGTACTTAAAATACTCACTTTGCTGTTATCATTTTTCTCTGTTGAGGGGTTGCTTTTTCTCAGGAGGAGTTTAATGTTTGTTTGGGTCTTCATGTGGGTGCCTAGTGAACCTATGGGCTCCCTATGGGCTCTGTGGCTTGAGGTCCTGGAGAGGACCCTCTTTGCCAAGGGATAGTGGGCAGTTTGGCTTTGTGTTTGAAGCTACTGGCTGGTTCCTTTTTTCTAAGTAGTGGTTTATTAATTTCCTGCTACTGCTGTAATGGTTCACTGCAAATTTGGTCCTTAAAGCATCACACCCTTAGGGGCCTCCCAGGTAGTGCAGTGCCTCCTCAGAACTATGAAGCTATCATCAGCCACTGCCGCTTGAGTTCCATCCCTGGCCAGGGAGGTGACCCACGTGGCTCAGCAGACCCCTCCTGTCTCCCCCACTGCTCCCCTCAGCAATGGATTTCAGTAGATCTGCCTGTTCTGTTCCCCACTCTTTCTCTCTCACCACCCCCTCCTCCCACACCTCTGGCCTGCACCCCAGTTCTTGTTTGCATAAACAAATGAAATAAATCTTAAAAAAAAAATGACATGCTTATCTTACCGTCATGAAGGTCAGAAGTCCTAAGTCAGTTTCAATGGGGCAGAATCAGCCACTGTGTTGGTAGAGGCAGGCTTGCTCTGGACGCTCTGGGGAAGAATCCATTTCTTGCATCTTCTTGCTTCTGCTGTCTGCCAGCTTCACCCCAGTCTCTTTCTTCTTAATGTTTGCATTTGGAGCTACCTGGATAATCTCAACTTGAAATCCTTAATTTAATCACATCTACAAAGCCCTTTATTTCCATAACATACCCGGGCCTCAGAGATTAGGAGCTGGTTGTTCTAAAGGACTATAGTTCAACTCTCCACACAGGGATAAAAATCCCCAAACTTAATTTTTCAGTTTTCTAAGAGCAAGAAAATCACTTTCATTTTCTTTTGTTCCCATTTATATACTACTAATTCACCCATAGAAGAATTCAATGGAAACATTCATCAATTAAAAGAGCAAACATGGAAAAATTGATGAGTATTTTGCGGTACCAACCATGTCTCTGTCAGGCCTGTGACAAATGTCTCTCTCCTTACTGATCCCCTTTCTCTCTCCTTGACACCATCCTTCCATTCCATCTTTCTCCCATCTGTCACCCTCCATCAGTTTTCTCCACTACTTCCCCGGCTCCCCTGTCCTTCCTCCTTCTCTTGTTCTCTCCATCCTTCCTTCTTTTCCTCCTTCTGTCTTTCTAACTCTATTTCAACTTAGCCTATAAAATAGATAGAAATAAGTAATTCTGGCTGTGACTGGTCATTTTCACAGCTAATTTAGATTATTGTAATATAAAACTGAGGAAATGTGTGAAAGTGCTGGGATCAAAGAATGGAATGAAATAAAAAAATGTAGCCAGTTACCTAGGAGTGTCCACCCTTATGAAGCTTAAGTAGGTCTAGAAAACCTCCCCAGATGATTGTTTAAAATTTGCATTCATCAGGGTGTTTGGCATGTAGCTTCTGGTTTGCCTCTGTGGATTCTCCATTGATGATGATGAATAGAACAATTTCAGAAACTCAAATTAAAAATAAACACAGTCGGGCATCTCATGTGTGACTGATGAGTTGGGGCTAATTATGACATCAGGACATTTGTGTCCTTCAATGTCATGGGTGCGGTCAGATGATGTGGGGTCAGGAGGAAGCAACAGGATAAGGCTGTTAACACATAATATCTGGCTTTACCTCGCATACACACAGCTCCGTCCCAATTGTGTGGGCTAATTGGGGATAAAGGAGATATAGAGGAATGAAAACCAGAATGGTGATTGTAATCATAGAGGACACATCCAGATATTTGAATATCCTCTCCCTAGAAAAGGAAGCTGAATAATCTATTTTTTTTTCCCTTGGAAATTCTGGGGAATATTTTAGCAACCATAGTGGAGGTCATACCGATTTGGGTGTGACCTGCCTTAATTTACTGCCTTAATTTAAGGCCAGAGGTGCCAGGGGAGGGGGGATAAGAGGATTCCCCAGAGACAGAGTGGGGAGCATAACAGGCAGATTGACTGAAATCCACTGCTGAGGGGAGCAGCAGAAGAGACAGGAGAGGTCTGCTGCGCCATGTGTGTCAGCTCCCTGGCCAGGGATCGAACTCAGGCCACAGAAGTGATAGCACTGAGACTCAATCCCTAGACTACCAGGGAGGACCTCATCGAGTTTTCTGTTGCTGTGAACATTCTAATGTTATTTTCTATGCAAACTGATTCCTTGTCAAGATTCAGCTCAAATATATTTTTTTTGAATCCTTATCCAATTTCTCACGATGGACATGACTTGCCTTCTCTGATGGGCATTTGGTCTACCATGCAATTGATAATTAGTATCAAGGACTCCTCCTACTTTATTGCAATAAGTTATCCTTTCTTTCACTGTTTTTATTATTTTAGATTTGTGTAGCAACCTGCATTAAAAGAAGTTCAGTGTCCAGGATGGGGGAGGATATTGTCTTGCCTGAAGTTCTATTGCTCAACTCATTCCAGGTGCTTTATGTTTAGTGAGGTTCTTTCTGGGGGCCATGGACAAACTAGCACAACTAGAGCTTGTGCAAAAGATGAGGACCAGAAAGGCAGAGTCTAGAAATCAAGATAGAAAGAGAACCATTGAGTGAGCTGAGATTGCGTAGACTGGAGCAGCAGTTCCCACAAGACTACAGGTCCCCAACAATTCTTTATGTTACTGTTTATTTAAATGTTCATCTTTCATACTCTCCTAAGGTCTGGGATGTCAGGAAGCACTTCTGTTTTTTTTTGCTATAGTGTTTGCTGCACGCTTCACAATACCTGATGCAAAATAGATACTTAATGGATATTTGATGAATGAGTGGGTGAATAGATAAATATTCCATTGAGCCATAAATCTACATGATGTTAATAGGGTAAAACTGGGAGGAATCAGATATCTGTGGTTTAAAGTGCTTGTTATAGTGCAATTAGTTGGTTGTCTTTACTGCTGGAATCCTTGAAGTTTAAAAAAATTCAAAGACAAGATTAGAATATGTTCTGTGTTTTCTAAGTATATTACATAGTGGAATTCCCCCCCTGCCCTGATAAAACATCTTAGAGTAATGCTCCCCATAAAAAGGAGGGATGGGAATATGATAGGAACTTTAAATATTTGAAGAGGACCCAAAAAGAATTAGTGAGTAAATATTATAAGGGTGCAGGTATTTTATTTAGCACAAAGATTTTGTTAAAATTAAGGCAGTAAAAACAAAGAACCAATAGCCTCTTGAGGTAGTGAATTATCTGTTGCTGTTTTAGCAGCTTCAAGTAGAAGCTGAATACTTGAGGAGAGTTGAAGGAGTAGGATAATCCATGAGCTGGAAGATATTAGGTGACCTCAATGTCCTAACAAAGCCAAACTTGTAGCACTGTGTACAATGTCCTAACAAAACCAAACTTGCAGCATTGTAAATCCCTGGCTGAGATGACATTGTTTTCTCTTTGATACCCAATGCCCTTGCTTGGTAGACATATAAGTATTTGCATATTGCTTGATTGGTCTGTAGATGCTTAGAGGATTGAAAGAATTGTAATGGAAACATATTGACTATAATATAGAAATCTTGTGCATGTAAACTAGTTTTCTTATAATTAGAAAGGGGACATTAATAGGAAGCCTGTCTGGTGGATACACACAGAAATGTACAATTTAAGGGTATGGCATAATTGCTGATGCTATCTTACTTTTTTTCTTCTTCCACAATCCCCAATCCAGAATTCTTTCTCCATTTTACCAATGAACCTTGACTCAGAACAAATGAGTTGTAATCATTTGGTTGACTTCGCTGTGAAATTTGAAAACATATTGAATGACTCAGATATCATAAGCTAATTATCTGTAAATTATTGAATTTAGAAGGATATTCTTTTATCTTACTCCTGCTATTAGTTTGTTGCTGTTATTTTGCTTGCCATCTGGCCAAACAATAACATGTCAGGTTCTTAGAAAGTATATAGGTTGAGTTCGTCTTTGCCAAACTCAGGCTAATGCTGCTGTCTCCCAATTTTTTGTATATCAGTATTACTCTTCTTCAGTTTTCCACTCTACTTGCTTTATCTATGTACACCCAGCAACTTTCTGTTATTAAGTTCTCCAGAATTATTGTTCATTTGTTAACAGGCAACAAAAACTAACTAATACAATGTGTTTGGATGATGAACCTGGAAATGCAGAGTATGAGGTATAACAGCATAGAGCAGCACTGTTGAACAGAAATTGTATATAAGTTACACATGTAACTTTAAAGTTTCTTTTTTTGTGTGTGAAGAACTGAGGTGCAGGCCAGAGGTGTGAGGGTGGGGTGAGAGGATTCACCAGAGACAGAGTGGGAAACAGAAGTTAGATTGACTGAAATCCACTGCTAAAAGGAGCAGTGGGTGAGACAGGAGAGGTCTGCTGTATCATGTGGATCAGCTCCCTGGCTGGGGTAGAACTCAAGCTGTTGAGGTGATAGCGCTGAGACTAACCCCTTGGCCACCCCCCTAAAATTTCTAGTAGTCACATTAAAAGAGTAAAAATATGGGCCTTCCTGGTGGTGTAGGTGATTGAGTGCCACACTGAAGCTGTCCACAGCCTCTGCAGCATGGGTTCGATCCCAGCTGCCCAGCGAGACTCCCATATGGCGCAGCAGACCTCTCCTGCCTCTCCCGTTGCTCCCCTCAGCAGTGTATTTCGTCAGTCTGCCTGTTCTGTTCCCCGCTCTGTCTCTGGTGAATCTTCTCTCCCTTCCGCACATCTGGCTTGTACCCCGGTTCTTGTATAAATAAATAAATCTTTTAAAAAAAAAGAGTAAAAATACAGCAGGTGGAATTAATAATAAATTTAATCTTAGTCAATATATCTAAATTAACATCATTTCAACTTATAATCATTGTAAAAAATGACTAAGATGTTTGCATTTTTTTTCTTTATCTGAGGTATTAAAAATTCAGCCTGAATAATATAATTACAGCATATTTCAATTCACACTCTAACTTTTTATCAGGTATAATTCATTTCTATTTAGATTTAATAAAACTTGTAGTTAAAAGAGTAGATTCACTTACTCAAGTTGTTTCAAACAAAAGGTTTTCAATAACTGAATTGCATCCAAAAGGTAATTTATACTTGGGCTGGCAGTCATGTAGCCATATTTCAGAGATTACCTGTTGGATGCCACAGTCTAGATCCTGACTTTCAGAAGATCCTCCAACAAGTGGAAGACTTAGATCTCTCTATAAACCCAGTTTCCATTCTCCTCCTCCCCCAAATCTTCACCCTCCACGCAATAATGGAGGGGTCAGGAATGAAATGTCATGTGTGGTCCAAGGCATTTCAAACAGCCAGAACCTAATACAGTTCACTGCACAGGCATTTATGGACTGAAAGAGCAAAGAAGGTGCCTGAAATAATAACAGAGCACTGCTACCACCCTGGGAATGGAGGGAAAATAAAGGAAAGTTGTAGAATCACCAATAACTAAGCACTTGGGATGTGAGCCCCAGCTGGGTGATGTGCAGCTTAAATTTTTTTTTCAATTGAGGTAATGTTGGTTTGCATCATTGTTTGTATTTTGGGAGTGTAGCACCCCCTTACTTTTAATGATCCGCTTGCCTGCTGCTGTACCTGTGAGTGGAGGCTGGTCTGGGCAGGCTGCAAGAAGCTGGGGCTGCATCAAGGAAATATTGGAGCTAAGATATATTTTTTTAAATTTATTTTTTATGTATGCATACAAGAACTGAGGTATAGACCAGAGGTTCAGGGCCTGGGTTGGGTGAGAGGATTCCCTAGAGACAGTGTGGGGAGCAGAACATGTGGATCTACTGAAATCCACTGCTGAGGGGAGCAGTGGGGGAGACAGGAGAGGTCTGCTGCACCATGTGGGTCAGCTCCCTGGCTAGGGATTGACGGCATTGAACTCATGTCGCAGTGGCTGACGACAGCTTGATAATGCTGAGACTTTAGCCCCAGTGCCACCAGGAGGCCCCCAAGTGAATCAAGATTTTTTGACCTCCCTTTACCTTTCCATTTACCCTGTGCCTCACATTCAGAACCTGCTAGGAAGTCAGTTTGTAGAAGTCTGTCTTATACTTCTCAAGCAAAGGACAGAACAGTAAACTCAGAGGGGAGAGAAAACAGGTAAGCAATTGGCTTTGACAGGTGGGGACCTTTGCCCTTCATGCTTCACAGGGGCTGTCACCTAACCTGCATGACATCCTCAGTTCAAGCTGAGGGCCCCAGCTGTGGTCTTGTCATGGGCTTTGGCCGTACCCAGCAAGAGACTTTTGAAAATAAGGACTTTGTGGGTTCATCTGAGTTTTGAAAGCCCTGCCAGTTATCTAGGTTTAGACCGAAATAAATCCAGAGTTTAGTTCAGTTTGAAATTGTTTCAAATGGGTTTGGCATCGATCTGTTTGCATCTCAATGAGGAAATATTTGCTACCTCGGACTTTGGACGGTTGATTTTACTTTTAGGGGCAGCTTGACCAGGTGGTTATTCTCTATGTTTCATCCTATCTGTGGATTTTGCTACATGTTCCTCTAAATGGGCACCAAAGGGAT